CTCCCAGCCACCCACTCCTCACCATCTGCACCACCACCCTGCACCCATGACCCCACCTCTCTCCTGGGTCCCTGCACCCACCTCCCCTCAAGGCTCCCTGCTCTTCCTGCCACGGCCTCTAATCCATTCTCTCCACCCAGAGGCCAGAACAGAATTTGGAAAGCACATATCAGGCCCTGTCACTCATCGGCTTAACCCCCTCCAAAGCACACCCCTGCTCCTCAGCAGGGCGGCTAAGGCTCTGTTTCCCACCCCTGTCCCTGCTCTCTCCCTCACTCCCCACACACCAGCCACACTGTCTTCCTCCTGATCTCCAGAGATAGCCAGCTACTTCCCACCTCCCAGCCTTTGCCTTGACATTCAGCCCCTCAAAGTCACCTCTTCAGAGAGGCCTGCCTGGATGCCCATTGGAGCAGCTCACCCCACCCCAGCCACTCCCAATTCCACAGCCCTGTTGTTTCCCTCCTGGACTCAGCACAGTCTGAGATTACCCAAATTACTTGTTTGCCGTGCTGTTGCTCCCTCAAGACGGGAGGCTATCTGGGGGGAGGAACAGTGCGTTACGTTCTAGCTGCTGGGGATACCGCGCTTCGTAGGTGTTTCATCAGCACTTGATGAGCGGGTGAATGAAGGAGTGAATGAAAGGGCAGGCTGGCTCCAAGCCAGACGGGAGAGGTGAGAAGGATCAGGGTCCCCATGCCCAAAGTCTCCTGCCCCTATCTTGGTAGGGCCTCAGCACCTCTTCTGCTCAGGAAAGGGAGCACGTGGGGCCAGTGTTCATGGAGGAGCATCTATAATCAGGGCCCTTTTCTCTAAACAACTTCATGAAGCAGCTACAAGGAAGCAGAGAGCTTCACCTCTCTGAGCCCAGTCTCTTTGTCCGTTTAATGGGGATAATCCTAGGTCCCAACTTCTAGGACTGTTGTGTGGATGGATAAGACTGTATCTCAAAACTGTGAGCAGCTGCTGCTGCTGCTAAAACAAATCTCATCTCTTATAGAGGAAGAAGCTGGAGAGATTGTGGGAGTTGCCTGGAGTCCCAGAGTCAGAAAGCAGGGAAGCTAGACCCAAATCCAGGCTCGCCTGACTCAGGAGCCAGTGCTTTTTTCTCTCTGTGCTGGACCCACTCCAGCCGGGATACAGGAAGCCTTTCTCCGTCTGCACCTCAGTGGTGTTCATTTATGTTCCTGAGCACAAACTGACTTTGCCTCACCTTTCCTCCAGGTTTGGTACAGAGACACTAGGAACCTGGGAGGGCTGGCCAGGGAGGACGGTGCTGCCCCCACCCCACTCATCCCCGAGGCAAGGGACCTGGGAAGGAAGCAGCTGCCCAAGCCTGGGACAGGTAAACTGGGGCATGCTGAGAGCCAGTCTGTGAGCAGCCTCCTTTGGGTCGTCTGAGATGGGGGGACTGGCAGGCTGGGGTCTCCGGGAGGTCTCAACAGGAAGAGTTTGGTTTGCATAGCAGAGGAGGAAGAATTGCCCTCCAGCCAGCACCTTCCCCGCCCTAGCCAAAAGCACAGAGCCAGCAGAAGAGAGCAGAACTCAGAAGGCCGTGGAGCTCTAAGGACGCATGGAGGGCCCACTCAGTCCCACTCAGGCCAGCTTGTGTGGTTGGAAGGCCTGGAGGCTTACAGGTAAGGCTGCCCTAGCAGAGACCCTGCCCAGCGCCTGGCTGATGAGGGATCGTGCTGCAGGCAGCCAAGGTAGCTTCCCCTTGTAGCCAGTGCACATTAAGAATTATTCCTCTTCCCACCTGTGAGTGAGAACATGAACAATGAGAACACTTGGACACAGGATGGGGAACATCACACACGGGGCCTGTCATTCGGTGGGGGAAGGGGGGGAGGGATAGCATTAGGAGATATACCTAATGTAAATGACGAGTTAATGGGTGCAGCACACCAACATGGCACATGTATACATATGTAACAAACCTGCAGGTTGTGCACATGTACCCTAGAACTTAAAGTATAATAAAGAAAAAAGAATTATTCCTCTTGTGAGCAAACAATTTGTCACAATATCTACTGTGCACTTTTCCCGGCTGGGCGCCCTCCCATACATCCCGAATTAATCCCTGAAGTCACTCAATTCATTTAGGACATGCCTGAGTGTGCCTCTCCTTTTATTAGGGAAATTTTTCATTGTTTTGAGGAGCTCATAGGTTTTAATTTGAGGCCAAAATTTTTAAAGCCTCTCTCAGTGGCTCCGAGGTGTGAGTAGTCTTACATCTGGGAAGACCCCCTAGGTTCCCAGACCTCGTAGGGCTTGGCTGGGGCCACCAGACCCCAGAGAGAAGGGATCATGGCGCATGCCCCCCAGGGAGCCAGGGACTGCAGACCCCAGGGCTGTGTGGCATTGGGTCATACCCTCGACCTCTCTGAGCCTCCCTAAGAAAGGCAAAGCCAAGGAAGACTTCGTACTGTGATATAGTTCTTTCAAGTCTGCCCAGGGAAGTCTGGGGTCATCACCTGTAAAAACCACAGCCCTGGGAGTAGCATGGGGCCACTGAAAAAGCATGATGTGTGGAGTTCCGATTTGAAACAGGGCCAGGGCAGGCCAGTCATTCGCCTCTCCCAGTTTCCAGCTCCTTAAAATGAGTCTAAGAGCTGGTGCCCTCTTCAGGCTGTTGTGCAAATTACACAAACCCAAGCTGGGAGTGAGTCTGACTTAGGGCCTGGCACAAAGTGGGTGCTCCATAAGGGTGAGCCTCCCCGGCCCTCTCAGCCCAATGTGGACCCCTCCCACATCTCCTTCTCTTGGACTTCAAGCAGCCAGAGCCCCTGGCTCACACATTTTGGCTAAAGGTGGCCCACAGGCTGATCTCCACAGGTGGGGTCCTGCCAGTTTGGGCAGCAGCCACCAGCCTCTTCCCAGGCCTTACACAGTCCCTCGCACTTCCCAACTGAGGCCCTGGTGTGTGGGGAGGCCTGTCCATAGATCCTATGGTAAATCCCGCCCCTCCCTGCAGCCCCCAGGTAGGGCTGTGTGCCAGGATCCCGGCTGTTTGATGTCTCCCTGCCCTTAGTCAGCAGACAGTGGTCCCACCCCCAACTACTGGTCCTCCACCCCCACCAGGGCTCCAGGGCTGGGACCTCTCAGAGCTCTGACCCCCAGTCAGCAGCAGCTCTCGGACAGCTCATACCCTGTCCCAGGCTTACTCCTCCTGCCTGTTCTTTGTTCACACTATTCCCAAACACACGTGCTCTCTGTCACTCTCTCCCACCCCCACCTTCCCCAAATCCTCACGAGCTCTAAGGACCAGACACCTGCAGGAAGCCCTCCCTGACTTCCCCAGCTTTTATCTCCTTCCCTTTCCTGAGGCTCACAGCATTTCTCCTTGATCCCTCTAACTTCACATTGCTACCCAGAGGCAAGGACCACGTCACCTACTCATGATGTGGTGGCCAACCCCAGGCAAATTCCACTGTGTACTTAGGGAGAACAGACTCATTCAATGATGCGGGGGAAGGTCACAGAGGACTCTCGCTGAGACAGTACAACACCTCCGTGAGGTAGGTATCATTATGTCCATTGTGCATATGGGAAACTGAGACTGGAGAAATGAATCACTTGCAAGAAGCAAGCAGGGCTGGGACAGGAACCAGCACCACCTAACAGTGCCGTTAAGACACAGCCCACAAATTCAGGTTCCACGGGCAAGACCCACCAGGCCTGGGCCCAGCAGGTTCACCTGTGCAATCCCATCTGATCCTCACCAACCTTCAGGGAGGTTACTGTGCCACTCGGGAGGAAAAAGAGGTCCAGAGAGGCTGAGTCACTTGCTCGAGGACACCCAGTAAGTGGCAGGGCTGGGACCTGTATCCAAATTCTTTCATCTCCCACTTGGTCAAGGCAACCGATCAGGACACCTCACCTCATCCTGCCCACCACTCCTAGAGTCTGCAGGACCCATTAAAAATCACATTGTCGAAGAATATTGAATGATAGGAAAATGATCTTGGTATGGGATTAAGTACAAAAGGCAAGTTAGAAAACAGTAAGTACAGCTTGATCCCAATTATGTCATAAATACATGTTTTGTAGAAGACTGACGGGCTAAACACCCAAGCGCTCACACTTTTCTATAAAGAACACACATTACTTTTTTTATAACCAGAAAAATAAAATGTTTGAAAAGCACCTTACAGATTTCAAGGCTTAGCCCAGGTGTGACTTGTTCCAAGCCCTGCCAGATCCCCAGCTGACTGTGGCCCTCCTGCCCTGTGTCAGCTCCCGCCTGCATCTCCCTGCCTCCTGAGCTCCCTATGCCCC